GAAAAAGTTAAGCGTGCACTTGGTCTCCTTTAGCATAGAGGCTGCTGTTCCTATTGATAGACCTAACTGAACTCCAACGCAGAGCAAGAGCCAAAGCTGTGGTAATTCCAGGCAGCTGTGAACATTTTCGAGTGTAAAAGCAATGGAATAAAAAGCAGTGACATTTTCAATATGAGAGACCAAAAAAGCCCAACTCATATTTTATTTATTTATCCAAAATAGTTTGAATTATTCATTAAAGTCAGTGTGTTTGAAAATACAAGGTGTTTTAAGAAGGAATATTATTAGGAGGAAGTTAATAATTTGGCAATATTAATTTTGTAACAGGTTAATGATTTTTTCAGAGAGAATTTTTTCCCATCAGACTCTTCAGCAGGGGCAACTTTTTGTATATACACTTGGTCTGAATGCAAAGGAGACCTTGCAGTATAATTTCCAAATATTTTGCCTCTTTCTCTGTTCTCCTCTTTTTTTTTTTTTTTCAGGCAAAGTAAACAGGCAATTATTGTCCCTAACCCAAAGCATAACCTGGCAAATATCACGCTCGTTTTCTCGGTTATTTGTTTCGTGAGCACGCCTGTGAGGGGTGGTTTGGCATCCCTTCTCCAGGATGAAGGATGTGGATGGTGTTACTTTCCCGTTCGTGATTTCCGCAGAGCGCACCTGCAACTTCTCGTGTCTGTTTTATGCGAGCACAACAGAATCGAACACAGGAACTAAAGTGTGTGCTCCAAATACAGGGATTGGAGTTTTCAAACACTGTCTTTTAAAGATATAATTAAACCTAATTCTCCAAATGTTGTGAAAGATCTTAAAGGATCAAGACATTCAATGTTCTGTAGGTGGTAGATAGAGTGGGTGGAAACGCTAATGCTGTCATCAGAAACCTGCTCTATTAATGCACCTCGACCCGTCCTGAAAGGATCTGCCTCTATTCAGTTGCCTCTACAGCTGTGTCTTAAGCATTTGTCTAAAATATGCTGATTTGCCCTCTGTGCAAATTACAGCTTTTAAAACAATTTTTCCTGACTGTGCTAAAAATTTGGCGGGAATCATCGGTATTAGGTAAGGCTTAAGAATTAGCACAGCCACATCTTTACATTGGGAAGCAGAGCAAACAATGAGCCGCCTCTTTGCTTGACATCTTCACTTTGTGTGGGAAATATTAGCAAGATTAATGAATGTCGCCAAGTCAGTCTGCATAGTGCTTGTGCAGTTGTGTGGTTGCAGGGAATCTGGTGCCTTGGCAATATAGACAACACGGAGCCACAGCGCAGAGACGATCTACTTGAGGTCACAGGGAGGTGCATTAGCAGATTGGGAGGGACTACACAGATGGGATTCAGAGGCCTAAATATAGGCATCTTGTGCCATTTTAGACTCCCCGAAGCATCTGAGAAACTGCCTTGGGGCTGGCTGGTATCGTGCAGAACCTGCAGGAGATCTCTCCTCTTTAGAAGCACGGTGGGATGCCACGCAAAATACCCAAGAATGTCCCAAACGAGCTTAGGTGGCTTTGTTTCAGCAATGGGATCCCGTCCTGCATTTCTGAGTTCTCAGGTTATCCTTCAAGTTGCTCTTGAACTTATCTTAGCAAGTTCCTCTTCTGTGATTCTACCTCATAACACTGCTTCTTGTTTGTGTAGGCAAAACCCTCAAAGGAAAATAGGAAAGGAGTCACAGCCCTGGCTGCTGTCCTGAGTTAATTTGGGAGCAGCCCCAGTTGGACTGTCTCCACGGGATAAAAAAACATTGCACGAGGTAGGCATCAGCAGCTACTAGAGCTGAACTATTCATGACTGTAATTTAATTGAGCATAAAGGAAGAGCGATCTCTGCTTTATAGCTGTCGTTCAATGAACCTTTCACTGGGGCAGTTGCAAACTTAAGTAGTCCTGTCGTGTCCCCTGCACCTGCGTGCATATTTGTGCCCCATCCCCAAGCTGCGCTGCTTAAGAAATACTGCCGAAGCCTTGCTAAGAGAGCCTCAGAGTAGACGGCAAGGCTTTATCCTGTCCCGACCTGTACTGGGCATGTTTGGGCTGTTGTCTACGTTGCACTTACCAAGTTCAGCTGTTGTACTGGTTGCAGACCCTAGCCATCTGTCACATGTTTTGCCATGCAGGTGAATTCCTTCAGCTGGGATGGCTGATGCAGTAATACCCCAAAACTGCTGAAGAACCCGGAAAGGATGCCTGGGCACCAGCAGGGAGGCAGGGTCCAAAGGCGAGGGCACGCTCTCGTGAGCGGAGGCTTGCTAAATGGAAAAGCTCAATACTTCTTGTGTAGAAGACTGAGGGTATTCAGAGTTTTTCCTTTTTCAACCTGAAGGTAGTGGAGGAAAGCAGTTGCTATTGCTTGCTAGTCTAGATCCACATGGTTGTAGTCAAAATAGGCCAGTGCTGCTGGGGAGGTTGGTAAGGCTGCGATGCAGCAGGTGCTAGGGTACCCTGATGGCCACTGCAAGTACCAAGTCTGCAAGACAAAACAGTGAAAGAGGTGCTAATTCTTCAGGAATAATGAAAGCTATTCGAGCAGTTGGTGAGTTAGGGCATCATCACCCTCCTGAGTTTATAAAAGTCAGGGAAGGCAGCCTCCGAGAGGTGGTAAGAAAAGACAGATTTACTTTTCCAAGGCTAGGCTGCATTTATTAGGACAAAAAACGTACCTGCTGGACATCTGAGATATATTAAAACCAGTGCCATCCCTGACAGTGGTGAAATATTATTTACCGCTGCAATGTAGTCACTGAATTTTTACTTTCATATACAGGCTTTTGTCCTTAATAGTTCTGTCTTGGGAATATGTAGCTGCATGAAGACTGAGATTATTGAGGTCAGAGCCGCCAATTAACCTCCTGATTTCGGGGGTTGATTACTCAATTAATCAAAGGCCCAGACCCGGCTGAGATGATGGGAAAGGGGTTGTAGCAATCCCAGGAAGGGTCGAGTTAGTCGCACAGCGATGAGTCTGGTGGGACTGGGGAGGTGGGTGGCCAGGAAAGACAGAGCCTTTTCAAGCTGGGGGGAAGGTGCAGCGTGTGAGCCACAGCCCTTCAGGCTGGTGAGCGCAGTTTTGAATACTGTACTTACCTGACATCCCACAGCAATTGGGGGTTTCCCTATATAGCAATGTTTTAATGAACAAACAGGTATATGATGTTTCCCAAGCTGGCTTGCTCCCCTTGCTGAAGCAGCATTAGCTGAAATGGGTGGAGGAGAGCCAGACTGAGGAAATACCTTGCTCTTACCGTGTCTACGAAGCAGCTCAGGCGGGTGGAGCTGAATTAACCGAAGGTAAGGAGTTGACCCACATTAACTCTGCCTGCGTGGGTGCTCTCACTCAGAAGTAAAGGGATATGTAGTTCTTTTTAACCGTTAAAGAGTTCCTGTCCTTTCCTAGGGATTAAGCTGAATTGGATTAAGGCCAAAGTACTTCCACCTCAGTGGCATTTAAGGCACTTGAACTTAACTCATTGAATTGCCTTTTGTCCCAAGCGCAGCGCCCGACTGCAGCAGTACGAAAGGCAAGAGGAGGCTCACGTCACTCCCGGCCCGCCTGCGGCCGCTCGGCAGCGAGCCGCACGGGTGCCCTGCTAGCGCAGGCCTTGCCTTTCCTATCCTTGCCGTTACGGTTCCTAGACTCTTCCTGCGCTGCCCTTGGGAGGCCGAGGGTAACGCATTCGGGCAAATACTCAGGCCAGACCTTTATCCAGCTAGCTTGAGTAACAGTAATACTGCAGCATGGGCTGCGTAAGCCAGCCAGCGACCTTCCTTCACACTCAAGCAGTCGCCTTGCACTGAAGTTTCCACTGTCCTGGCACTGGAGCCTGAACTAGCTAAAATAAAGAGATGCGGCCTACTTGTGCTGCATTTATGTCTCTGATCACTGCATAGACGTAGCCTTAAGCCTCAGAATGACAAAGAGATATCTGAGTGAGGAAGTCTCTTTTTTTCCTAGCCCTGGACTGCAGTGTTGATAAAACAGGCTGACTTGGGAGACATCTCTAATGTATATTAAAGTAAAGCCAATCTCTGTAATTAATGGGGGGATAAATCGAGGTTTAATTACTCAGAAGGCACTTTGGGTGAAAGATTCATGATAATTGTTGTGTATCGTCTTGAAGTATTCACAGTGCTTGCAGCTCCCTTTGTGGCAATAAAATGCAGGGTGAGTGGCAGGCAGTCTCACAAGACCTCTCTTCTGGGGACTAGTCCAGTTAAGGTAGCAAATGGAAAGAGACAGTGGTGCTCGTCAGGCTTTTTATAACAGCAAAAGCCCCCTTCCAAATCTGAAGGGATTCCTAGACAGTGTGACAATTTGAGATCAAAGCACTTACAGTCAAATCAAGTGTGCATTGGAGGAGATTTCCGTGATTGCCAGCTTCCTCCTGACACAACCCCACAGAGGCGTATTTGTAACCATTTTTTCCACTTTCTTGCTCCCTGTAACACAGTACCCTTCTCTTGGGTTCTGGGTAGGAAATAAGATGTGTGTGCAGGGGAAAACAGACACTATAGCTTTGAATTTTGTAGTATGTTGTTAAAAGACTGGCTGAGCAAAAGAAAAATTCATCCTACTAAGACATGTCCATTTTCCTCGTTCCCCGGTTTATTATCTTTCAGTCTTCTGAGGCCAGGAGGAGAGGAATCTAGTTTGCTTGTTTCTTTACTCTGCTTGCTTAATTCACTTTTTAAAAATTTAATTCACCTTTTCAATTCGCTTAGTTTGGCTAGCACTGTAAATACGACGCAAGGTCTCTGTGCTGATGACGTGTAACAAAGTACCCGTTTTCTTCCCCTACTTAGAGCTGAAGAAGCAAGTGGAAAGTGCAGAACTAAAAAACCAGCGTCTGAAAGAAGTTTTTCAGACGAAGATCCAGGAGTTTCGCAAGGTGTGCTACACGCTAACGGGGTACCAGATTGACATCACGACTGAGAACCAGTATCGACTCACTTCGATTTATGCCGAGCACCAAGGGGACTGCCTGCTCTTTAAGGTAGGTCTGCGCGCTCCTCGCTGCGCCTGCTTCTTTGTGTTCCTGGTTTTCAGCATGCCAGAATGGTTTTGCTCTTTCTCAGTGATTGCACTGGAAAATCATTACCCCTCTGCTATGTGACAAATTTTTCCTTCTGAGGGAAGTAAAGATCCTTTCTTCTTTTAAAAAATTACCTTAAAAGATGTGGCATCTGATCTCCCACTTATATATCAAAGTAAACTGGGAGTGAAGAGAAGAGACTATATACGTATAACACCTAAGATGTGTGGCCTCGCAATTCACCTTTTTCTATTATCGGTGATATATGCTACAGCAATAAAACCTTATGTAACCATCAAGGTTTCATCCTCGCTTTGCTATAAAAGATGTCCTTACTGCCTTTGCTATCCTCCAGTCCGCCTGTGTGTCATCATCTTGCCTTCATGTAAATCGGAATCTGTTTTGAGCTCATCTTTGTTTGTGCGAGGTGCCGTTTATCTGAATGGCTCAGATGAGTAACAAGAGTAGTCTATCTGTTGTCAATTTAGTGCAGCACTGGTCTAGCTAGGTGGTCTGAGTTTGGGTGGTGGTTTGATAGGTTCCGTTTTTCTTCTGTGTTATCTTCCAGATAGCACAGTTGGGCTGACACGTCAGAGAACTAGGTGCGACATTAGAGTCGCCAAGCTGTTTAGTGGCATCTTTACGTTGGTCTGAGTGTCAACAGCCCAAGTTTACAGGCCAGTGGGAGAGCTCTCCCCTTCTCCATGGCAACCACAATAGGCATTTAAAATCACATTTGCTTCCAGCTGATCCTCCTGAGGTGAGTCTCATTTATGAGAAGGATGAGGATTTTGGAGGAGTTCAATACAGGCAGGGAATGCACAAGCAGGAACTGGAGAGGTTCTGTTCTGGAGACCTACTGCCATGTGCAGCATGCACATTGCTGCAGTATTATTTCTTTACATAACAAATGTTTTGGACAATTTTAGAGCCCCAAAGAAAACCCACCAAATAAAGCAAGTTGACAATAAGTGTAAGACAACACCTAGCATCCTAAACTTAAAACTAGGAAAATATCCTCAAAATAGTTATGTTATTTGGCCTTATGAGGTTTCTGGACTGAGTCAAATGACAGCTGGAAAAGAAAGCCCACCCTCCAAGGAGGAGGATGACTTTGTTTGTTTTGAGGTACTGTCCTTGAGTCCTGAAAACAGTTGTCTGTTGAGATGGTGCAATACTGTTAGCTCTAAGACCTGCAGGGGCTTGTGTTCACACCTATATTGTTACATGTTTAGTGAATGAAACTTATTCAGACTTCTGGAGATTTCTTTTGGATGCCATGGCCAGATAGTACGGCTGGCAGTTCTTCCTGTGTCCCAGGCAGAGTGTGTATTGCAGGAGAGATGGTGTACTTGGCAAGCGTTAAGAAAATATGGGAAGATTGCATACTGCCCACCTAAACTAGAGCTGGCTGGCTTCTTTTTAAGTTGTCCCTAGTAGCATCAAATTCTTCTTCATGCCATGACAATAGAAGTAGTTTACCTGAAAGGCAGTGAATAAGCAAGCATAGATTCTTTTGTCTAAACCGATTCTGTTGTCTAAACAGTATTCTTGCTTTCTTGCCTTCACTCAAGTCTTCATTCCCAAGTATTTCTGGAGAAAGGATTCAATGTCACCAGGTGGAGCAGCAGAAGTTTCAAGATCTCACACTTCCCAAATCCAAGGATGGGTTGCTTATTGGTTCATGAGATTCCTCCGCCTGTCTTACCTCACATACCTCTTTGGATAAAAGAAGCAGATTTTACAATCAGAGCCTGAACAGCAGTATCTCAGAGCCTTTCTCACTGTTCAGTAAATTGCAGACAATTCCCAAAGTCTGTAGTTTAGAATAGTGGTGGAATATAAACAACAAAATATTTCTTTGTTGAGTCCTGACGTCTGCTTCTCATGTATCTACCAAGGGTTGAATCCTGACTATGGCTTTTCAGCAAGGTTATGTTTTTATGATGTGGAATTTCTGAGCCATAACTGACTGTGGGTGTTTGTGTGCGTTTCATTAAGCCAAAGAGGTCGCAAAGTGGGGAATGCTGTTTATATTTATTCCATTCAAGCAATTTATGGAACAGGGCCTATATAATTAAGCCAGAGAAGTCCCCTAGCTCTTTATAAGCTTCTGTAGTTTGTCCGTAAACTTTACGGCATGTTTCAGTAGCACTGCTGGTGGCACTTGATTTTCAGTGAGGTTTCGATAACAGGGATGCAATGGCAGCTACTGTAATGTAACTCCTTCAAAGGTAAATGAAGATGAAAGACGTGCTTAGTTTTCCCAAGCAATGTATGTTGTTGCTGTCATTAGAGCATATTATCTACATGCTGTATGTTTCCAACCAATTCACGTTAATTAGAATTGCAACCTCAGTGAAAGGGTTAATCGCAATGACATGCTGTGAATACAAATGACTACATCCATAAATGAGCACAGAATTCCAATGAAACCATATCAGTATTTATTGGCAATCCCTGTGGATACAACAGATGAGTTCATCAACTTGAAGGATGTTCCAGTGATTTTCAGACCCTCCGTGTGCGAGTGCGTAGGCAGCAAGGCACAGCTCAGACTTCACATCTCACTCTTGCGCTTGCTTGCTCTTTTTTGTTCTTTTAATTAAATGCTGTGGAAAGTGATGTACAGATACCTCACCAGGATTTTAGTTTCTGGTGATTTGGAGGAACAGTAATACATAACAGTTGCTGGGTCACTTGACAGTTTCATATTCTGTTACTTTCGTGTTACATTAGATGTGTTAGTCCATATATATGCGTGTTCTGCATAATACTTGGGAGATGTATCTAGGCCAGGCCACTCATGAGATACCCAAGAACTACATTTGCTCTCTTTATAGCAATCTGTTAAAGAAATATATTGAAACAAACGAATATTGCCGTGGAGCCTCAAAACCAGTTCCTCTAACTTGGAATTAAGCCATGGCAAATGAGGATGTCATTGTTTGTCCGCGTGTACATCATGCTGTTTACCCTTGTCTCTGGGTATGTCGCGAATGAGAGTACGGGAGCGAGGTCTTTAGAAAGGCATTGACAATTGTTTCAGACAAAGAAAGGCTTTTGGTAAACAGAGAGACTGGTCAAATTTGAAGAAGAGATGATTTGGAGACACTCGTACAAATGAACAAACAGTGCAGAGAAAGAAAATCGTGGGCTTTTTTTTTTGGCGCATGCCTAAAGAACACGATTCCAGTCAAGATATTTGAGGCCCATTAGTTTTAAATGAAAATGAGGAAATCCTTTTAATTTATGACCATACAGCTTCAAGGTACTGCTGAGAGCAGGAGCTCAGAAGTTTTGTAAAACGATAAGATGCCTTTGTGGACAAATAATAATATCTAGCTTTACCTTAAATAGAGAGTTACACTTACATAAAGTAGGGATATGCAAAGCTTTCTACTTTGAAGTGTTAAACTGACTTCTTACTGTGGAGGTTAGGACGAAACTTCCCGTGCAATGCAGGCTGTTTTTGGATTGTGTCTACGAGTGGTTTTGTATTTCCCGCTAAAGGTTCTGGTACTGGTCACTATTGTTGATAGGATCCTGGACTAAAAAGGTTATTAATATGATCCTCTATAACAGCTACATGAAATCTGGCAGTATTTGAAATCTTCTGTGTTTCAGTCTCCTCTACTTATTTAGAAAGGAGGGCTCACTTTTCCTACTAATTCATGTATATATTATTTGGGCACAAGTATGTTGATAAGAAAGTTAAAACAGCCAAACTCTTCTCAGTGTCACCGTGGTATTATGTGTCTAAGCTCATAAGCAGTCCTGGCCAAAAGGCTGCGTTGAAACAGCGCATCAACCTCTGGTTCACCTTATTTTCTGTGTGCCCAGAGCCCAGTCTTCCAGAATATAGAATTATGTCTTGTTCCAGATCTTGCCCATGTTGTTATTTTCTGCCAAAACTATCAAATGGAAACACAAACACCAGCAGTGGTTCATAGAAGAACATCCCCAAGATGGTAAGCCTTCTGCCTTGAAAGAGAATACCCAAGATATCAGCCAGCAGATGAAAACAGAAGCCTCGTGACACAGTTCGAGGATATTGCCAGGCGTGAAGCTGGCACTTCTTGTTGCAAAATAAAACTTTTATTGGTGTGTAGTTGGAAAAGTGATATGGTAATAAAATCAGCAGCTTTTCTGCAATCTGCTCAATTGTCAGCCAGTGCTCACACAGTCTTTGATTCAGATTTGTTTAAGCAGTTACGTGAAGAGTTGGTTTGCAAATGTATAAAGGGAACTGTCGCTGTACAATTTCAAGGTAACCAGAAGAGCTATCATGTGCTTCTCATATGGTTTGCTGTTGGTACAGGGGTAGAACGTGAGGGGTGAAAGCGTAAAGACTTTGTTAGTTTAGAGGTTCTTTGATGCATGAAGGGTTCAGTGCAAGGACAGACACCAGCTGCGAATTGATGACTAGCATGGAGCAATGAAGGAAAAAGTTATTAATGGTACAGTTAATGAGGATGCAGGTATCTGGAATTGATGGCCCTGTTAGAGCCGTGAAGATCTGGAATTACCTCAGCCACTGATTACTGGAAGGTGGGAATCAGTATGTAGCGACAGATCACCTCAAGCTTATTAATATTTACTGTTTCTTCAGCTTCTTTTCCCTAAACCTCTGTTGGTGGTGGCCCTTTGGAGGCAGGATGCTAGGCTAGATGGACTTACAGCAGTTCTTGCAATAAACAACTGGAGCTTAATAGAAGCCTGAGACAGACGGATGGGTAGGTACCTAGGTAACTTCCTTAAGTTTCCCCTCCTTTGTTTATTTAATAAATTAATATTTCTCTGTTTGCCCCCTTAATTTGCCAATCTTTCTTCGCTTGCCCCATTGCTTGTATAGCCTGTGGTCCTGTCACCTCTCCGTTTACAGGACATGTGAGGTGTGCCGGTAGGGCAGCTATATGGACAAGAAGTAATAGTTTAATTTTCTTTTCTGGAGGAGAAGA